CCTAGCAGTAGCTGTTTAGAAGATTAGATAAAGTAACTCTACTATCTAAGAGAGCTAAAGGCTCTCCTTATATACACTAAGCTTTGGAACATAATATCTCCAGATCCCGAGCTGCGTCCCAGGCTCTGAGCTCCAGTCCCAGGCTCCGACCCCAGTCCCAGGCTCCGAGCCCCAGCCAAGGCTCTCAGTATACGCGACACTTAGTAAAGCAGTAATTACTTCTTACAACATAATAGTATACATAGCTAGCTAAAGCAAGGTAAGTCCTGCGTTATGTAGTAGAGGCGCTATTGTTAGAGGGTGCTGCGCACACATTTAGAAGTAACATAAAACTTACTAGCTAATTTCTTAAGCTACAACTAGCCTCTACCTTTACAATTATTTTTATCTGTTGCTCTAGGGTTAATTGCACAACTTTTCTTGCATTTCTCCTTATTTCCTAGAGTATTTAACAGCGTTGTGGCATTTTTATGTAATGTTAAAAAGTGGGTGTTAAGGTGTCGCGCACCGACGCGTGTTTTCGCGAACCGAACTTTTGACGCGTGACTGTAGGTCTTATATACTAAACAAATCGTTACAAAAATAGACGTTGTGAAACGTACTACAGCACGTAACTATGGCCTCCCTAGCCGTAAGTAACGTCTTATAAAGTTACTACTTTCGTACTGCTCACGTGACAGCTAGGTTCACGTAGTACGTATACGTACTACTTCCTGTTGGCAGCGCTGGCCATGTCGCACTCCATCGCGTGCACGCTCGCAAAGGACTTCCGCGCCGTAGCAGTTCAGTCGGGAAACCTGCTTTCAGGGTGTGTTGGGGACACCGACCCCGTCGCCTACTACATCCAGCATAGCGTCAGCGACCAGGTTCTACCGATTGCTAGAGGGCGCTCGTTCCGGGATACGTTTGTGAAAAATAATAGGTGCTAGACGCAGACACCAAGTGAGCCGGCCAAGGAGAGTGAGACGCATATTTTGATCAAGTATGAGGGATGTATGGAGGGGAAGCCAGTTTAGTGGACGGCGTTTGATGGCGATCATACGCCTATTCCGGCGGATGGGTAGGGGGCGAGTAAGGATGATACGTTTACTACTAAGGCGGCTTGGGGGTTTTTTGAGATGTTACAAATGAGATGCGAGTTATGGTAGCGATTCAATGCTGATGATATTTCGTGGTTATGTCAATGAACGGAGCACTACGGATACGCCTTGCAAAAGTCTTTGCCCACGCCAAGGCACTAAAAACGCCACTTTTTTGAATTAGAGAGATGAGCTAATAAGTTCTCTAAGTGTAATCTCTCCCCTCTTTGTACTTGTTACCACATTTAAGCCTAATAACCTCTTGTACATGTCTAGATATACGCTTAATCTAGGCCTGTATACGCCTCTAACTAAGGTCTCTCTGCTAGCATCTCTTCTAGGCCTTTGTTGCTTCTGTACAGCTTTATAGAGCTCTTTTCTTAGTTATTTACAACTTTATCTAATACTAGCAAAGCTTAATAGCATTTAGATTAGGAAAGGTTACGCACTAAAGTAGTCTTTAAACTTAGTTAGTGTTATATATCTCTTACTAGGCATAATGTGTGTAAGTAGAGGCTTTATTCTTTTAGACTATAGTATTTCGTTAAGATATTACAGACTTTTTAGTAAATAAAAGTAGTTTTAGTATAAAAACTTTTTAGTAAATAAAATTAAGTTTAGTATAAAAACTTTTATTTAGTATTTATACAAGTTAATACTATTTTTTTTAGTATATAAGTTTTCTTATCTTGTTATTCTACTAAAATATAAGTGTAACGGCACAGGCAAGACAATGGGTCTAAATGCGGTGGGAATCCACTCAGAGGCATATAGGAGTGTATGGGGACTTAGAACCTAGGAATTTCTATTAACACCTATAGGCCTTGTACAAAGGATATTAGAAAACTACTAAGCTAGCTAAGGAGGCAAGGTGCAACTAAATACATAAGAGAATAGGGGTAACAGCAGGGGTCAGGGCCAGGTCGGGGTTAGGGCTGATACAGGGCCTTCTAGGCTATCTAAGATAGAATAATTTATAAGGATTGTTACACTCCCCCCCCCCCCCCTCTATAGACTAATAGTCTCTATTAGTAGTAATTATAGTACAAAGTATTGCTGTTATGTCCTCTGCTTCTTTAAGCTAAAACTAGTCTAATTTAGCTAGGCGTCCTTGCTCTAAAATACTCCCTTGCAATGCTAGCAGTGTCCTCTAAACTAAACGCTATGTGTGCGCGCCCGCTCTAATATTAATCTGTATAGATGTCTAGCTAATTGTTCCTTGCTATCTGTGCAGTTATTTATCTTAGGCGTGCGTTTAGTAAGGTGACATTTAGGTATTATTAGGGGTGCCTAAAAGGTCTCTTGCTACTAGGGTAGCAGTAGTGATTTAAGGCATTATTAGGGGTAATTTAGTAGTTAATTAAGGTCTATTAGGACATGTTGCTATAGAGTGACTCTAAATTAGGTGGGGTATAGCTTTAGGTCCTGTGGAAGCAGGTTTAGCTGTTGACAAAGTAGTGGCTGTTTAGCTCTAGTAGCAGGCATCTTGCCTTAGCTGCGGCTATAGCGTGTTGCAAACTTTGTACTAGGGTCTAAAGGTAGTTAAGGGTTAGGCATTAGTAGTTGTCTCTAATCCTAATAGGTTATTAGTAGTCTCTAAGTTTCTACTTTAGCGCACTCTTTACAACTTTTCTAAAGGCAATTCTAATTGCAGGGGATAGGAAGTTCTAAACCTAAAAGCTTTAGTTAACAGAAGGTCTCTAGGATCCTATCTATAATAACTAAATAATTTAATGTAATAGTGTGTAAGAATTGCAACCTAAACTAAATTAGACGCTTTTTAGAGTTAGACATAGTTAAATAAATAATTAATGCAATATTATTAATAAAGCTGTTACTAGTAAAAGTAAGTTTTCTAATATAATGTAATAGCACAGGCAAGACAATAGGTCTAAATGCGGTAGGAATCCACTTAGAGGCATATAGAAGTGCGTGGGGACTTAGAACCTAGGAATTTCTATTAACACCTATAGGCCTTATATAAAGGATATTAGAAAACTACTAAGCTAGCTAAGGAGGCAAGGTGCGACTAAATACATAAGGGAATAGGGGTAACAGCAGGGGTCAGGGCCAGGTCGGGGTCGAGGCTGATACAGGGGCCTTCCGGGCCATCTAAGATGGAACGATTTATAAGAATCGTTACAATAAGTTTATAGCTAGGTTTTACTTAAATTCTAATGTATTACATGCTAAATTTAAGCTTTTATATTACTTTAGCTTTAGGTTTAAACTAGTTATTTAGCTTTTATAATTTCTTTTTAATTTCTTTTATTTATCTGCTATTTATAGTAGCTAGATATAGTAAAGTTTTTTCAAATTATATAAAAAGCTACTTTAAAATATAAACTTAAAGTATCTAGTTTACTACTTATAAATATAGCATTAGATAAAGGCCTTATTAGCTATACACTAAATTTAATAGCCTCTTTACTAATAACTAAGTAAAATAGATGTTTTATTAGTTTATATAATATTTTTCTATTTTATTAAAGTTTAATTTTCATGCTTTAAGTACTAGGCTACTTATTCTTCTTTTATTTATTTTATTAGTTTAGGCTTTTTTTATTAGCTTTATTTTCTTAAATTTAAGGCTTTTAAGGAATTAATATATAGTAGATGCTAATATATCTATATTAAGCTTTTAGCTAAGGTTACTTGTAAAGTTAGCACATGTCTTCTTACAAATATATTAGTCTACGCGTACCTTTTAAGTAAGAGACTGCTAAACCTTACTAGTTTACTTATTTAAACAGTTAAATTAGAGAGTATCTTTTAGATATTTATTTTTAATAATAAGAAAGACAGTGTTAGAGTTAAATCTACACTTAATTACTTAACTATAGATACTATTAACAGTGTGCTTTAGTAGTCTAGTATTTAATACCACCTGCTGTGTAGTTTTGCCTCTAGATAGCATCTTAAGAGTAATACCTAAGGCTTAAGTAGTAATATTACAATTAGGCGCTATATAGAGATAAAAGAAATTGTAGTACAGCTTAAAATCTATTAAAATCTAATTAAAAAAAGAGGTTAAGGTTATCTAATTTTTGCGGTAAGATTGTGGCGTTTTTAGCGTAGACAAAAACTTTTGAAAGGCTTATCTGTAGTTTGAGTATTAAAAATTTCATTGGTATTCTATACCCATAGCAGCTAACGGTATAGAATTTGTCTATTAATAGGCCAAATTACGTATTTATATAGCAGCTCGTTGCCTTTGCATCAGAAATGCCGCAGTTCCTTGTCTTTGCTGCTTCGTCTTGCTCGCCGCCCCGGGACTTTTCATAGCTCTCAGGAGTCAAATCAAAGTACATATCTACCGTACAAAGAACTTCCGTCTCCATGTAGTGGGCGGTTCGTTCTACGGTAGTGCCGCGGCTGTATTGATAGAACATGCAGGGCCGTTCCGCATTTACATGTGCTTATGGTAGGCAGCATGGAGCCATGATTTCAATTCGTTAATTAAACGATATGAAACACTAGATGCCCGTCCGAATGTGCCTCCTCGTATGTTTCTCTATATTCGCCGGAGTCTAGGTCTCTACTCATTATTATAGCAGCGTAGTTTAAAAATGAGGTGATATTCGGGAAACGCGCCCCCATGTCGCCATATCGCCCAAGTAGAGTCTTGTAAGCTATTCCATTGCTGTATGGATCCTCTTCCTGGGGCCCCTGAGCCGATTCCTCCTGCTGGCCTAACCAAGTTTTGAACTGCCTCGCGACCACATTGTCCACAGGTGTCTTGTCGTTTACGCCTATCTTGTTGGCGTAGTCCGTAACGTCAAACGCAGAGAAATAGTGCTCTTCTGCGCCTTCGACGACTTGCTGTGGCGAATCGCTCTGGTGATTGTCGATTTCCGCTGACAGGGACGATTCCTGCGAGCTATCGGGCTCCTTGCTGTCATCTTCCGAAACAAGATCCCACCAGTAATCTCTGAGATAGAAATAGCCAATGCGCCGGAACTGTCCTCGCTTCAGATGGGTTGGTATGAGAATTAGGCCCTCAAGGTGTAATCCATCTCCCCGCTTCGTTAAAGAGGCTGCTAAAGGCACTAAATAGGCAAAAAAGGATTGGATCGACTGGCTCGCAGCTCGGTCATCTAGCGCAATGTTGATTTCAATTGTTGAATTGGGGATGGAATCCGCAATGCCATATTCGGAGTCTTCGGTGCCGCTCTCTGATTCTTCATTCGAGTCAGCTATGTACCATCGTCGTCCAATGGATCCTCTTCGCAACCCCAAGCGAACCAATGGAGCTTTTAATCTGATATGACCGTCTGTAACCATGCCGTATGGGTTTGCGGGAGATGATAGCGAGACTTGAGCGTCAAGCACTTCTGCAATGGCATCAGAGAAAGACACGTTGTTGTTCGTCCAGACGGGTGCATCGATCGATGCCCATGACCAAGAAGGCGCAGTGTAACAAGGTTTCCTCCACGGACTTCCGTCGTAGCAGTACCAGAGTAGACCCCGCCGAAGCCGATTCGACCAGATTCCAGCGAGATATATCATGTTTGGAAAGGCTGTATGAAGATCTGCAGCCAGACCCGCAAGGGCGACAAGCTTATCCGAGGTATGCGACAACTTTAGCCCGGAATAACGAGAAAAAATGGCATTCCAGAGTCTCCAAGGGGACCAGGATGAGTCAGATCGATTGTTCCATACCCTGCGCAGCGTGAAAATATCCAATCCGTACGATCTGTCAAAAAAACGGATTCCTTCCGGGTAGACCTCACTCGCGTAAAGTCGGAGGCATTCCCAGTACAGCTCTCTCTTTCCAAATATTAGCAAAAGAGGAGATAGAAGACGCTCCTGAAGCACCCATGCTCTTGTGAAGAGAATCAGACTCCTCTGCTGATTCGTTTCTTCTTCTTCATCTTCGCTCATGTACATCGACCAAGCATGCCGAGAGCCATGACCATCGCCGAGTTCAACGGAACACGGCACCACAGTTAGAGGATTCCTAGAGCTAAAGAGGCCACCGGTTGCATCAACTGCTGCGGCTGCTGCGATAGTCAAGGACGAATTCCGGTAGACCAAACGCATTTTCCCCGACTCTTTGGCCCAATCCGAGGTTGAATCTTGCACAATGCAAAGAGAGTCGATCCAGAGAAAACGCACGTCAAGTTTACGTGTAACTTCTACGGCGTCTTGGAACGTTTTTGGCAGGCTACAAAGCGGTTTCCCGTCGACAAATGAGGAATAATTGCTTTTAAGAAGACGAATCGGAATGTAATCGCCCCAGCAATGACTGAGGGTTGTGTACTCCAATGTTGTAATATCGAGCTTGATCGTATCGCATAATCTGATCACGGGCGAGTCGGCGCCGCCTACGTCAAGTAATCGAGTTGGCCATTCTTCCCTTGGTATTATTCGCGGTTTGCAGTGCGGATGCAGTGATGAACAGTTCTGAGACCACTGTAACACTTGTTGCCAACTCTCTCCACTTTCAGTGCTCAAATATTTCGGGGCTCGCTTGGATTTGTCTGGCATTGTATCAATACTGGATTTCTGCATAAGGGAACGCTCAAGAGACCTACTGGGACTAATTCCAAAGAGAAAAGAGACTTCTGCAACCATGTCCGTGGGGCTCCCCTGCTGATGACGCAGAAGGACCGAGAGGCCCATGTCATGTCGGCGCAGCTCAGCTTCCAGTTGAATCTGCGAAGCAGGTCCCCCATCAATGCTCGCACCAGCTCTCTTAGCAGCTAAAGTCGCTCGTACTCGTGCACAGCGACCATTGAACCGAGGACTGTCCATCAAGAGATTGCAAAAATGGCAAGGCAGAGTATTAGCGTTCTCCAGTTCCTCCAAAGTGTGAAAGGGGGAAATCTGACGGCGTTGAGAGCTGTCACCAGAGAATATCCCCTTACACATGGAGCACAATGCATTGAAGGCAACTGGGGTAGGATTAGATTCCCGGCTGAGCGTTGAAGTAGCTGGCGCCGTTGTCCTCCCCAACATCTCCGGAGTGGATGGAGCATCGAGTTCGTTCATTACTCCCTGTCTCTGTTAGATTCCTCCTCTCCACATTTTGTTGGAGGGCGGCTACCCCTCTTTGTGCAAGAGTTTAGGAAGCGATTTTCAAGTCCGTGTTTCGTAGGTAGCGTCGTCATCACAACAAGCCAGAAAGCAGCCAGCAAGATGGATTGAAAAATCGGCATATATTACGCAAAGCTGCTCAGCGTCGTGCTGTTGCCTGTCGGCGCACTGTCGCTAAGGCGCAGCGAAGGGGGGGGAAGCGAAGCACGAAAGGTCGCTAAAGAGCCAACCAAACAGGATCCTCAGAGTGTAAGGATCTGTGGGTCCCTTAGTATCATTGAGGGTCCTCATGGGTCACCATCTGTCAGAGCGGGTCATAGCGTGGCACCTGGGACCGGACTGGCTCTTAAAGCTCGATTGCAGCCATCGTGGCTTGGCAGCGATCTATCTCCCTTACAATTAACCCCTATTGTTGAGAACTGTCAGTCTACGCTAACTATATTTTTATTTATATTATTAGTTGGGTTAAAAGACTTTGTCTAACTAAGTGATAGTTTGCGTTAGCATAAATATTCTAATATTTAATTAGCTAGATTTTCAGCTATTTTCACGATCGGCATGCTCAGGCTACAAGCAAGAGATGGTGTAACTCAAATAGATTGAACTAAGGAGCAGAGGAGCTGCTTTGCCAGTTCGAAGATGTACCTCTTGCCAAGGCGCTATGCGCAGAGGCAAAGAGGGGAACTGACACCACAAACACGTGATGCGGGGACGCGCCGCCACAGCTTTTAAAAACCACGCTACTTGAATCTCTGCACATGTTGTCTTCTCTAATCACCCCTTTCGCTCTTTTTTTTAGATTAACCTACTAGCTGGCTAAACTTTCAAACGAGCGTTAATTTCTCTATTTCATTCCTTAAAGGAAAAGACTTCAGCACACACATCTTATTATTTCTCAAGATGAAGTTTACTATTCTCGCAACGGTGATGCTTGCAGCAGCAACTACCCTCGCTCTTCCCAATCCTCATAGTTCCAAAACCGCGCCACATAATACACCCAACAACACGCCTAAAGCTACACCTAGCGCCAGATCCAATAACACGCCGAACGTAATCCACTCAGCACCTAGGTATCTCTCCCTTTGGCGTTAAAGCCGGACAGAATCACGACGGCACAGGGAATTGTATGGGCATTGACAATGTTAATTCAACACCTTCGCTTCTAAGCTAAGTTAATTTGCCGCTGTCAGAAATGCACATAGCTTGCTATTAAGTTTTCTGTTAGGAAACAATGCTGCGAGTAAGACAACAAGAATAAAGGTAAGCATAGTGACTCTGCAGAATCTGAACATTGAAGGAGTTAGATGTCTAGAGGCGAGCATGACGCGTATGCAGTAGTTAAATAAGGTTTAAAGCTGATTTTATTTTTGGTCACGATTTAGATTATATAGTCACGGCTCTGGGAGTATTATACGGGCCCTGGAGGCATCGTATGGTTTCTAGAAGGATTAAGTCGGCACTGGGGGCCATGTTATGGTTTTTGGGGTTACAGCAATGTAGCATATAGGTACCCTACTCTAAGCTGTCTTTCTTACGGTTGATGATTTTTCATTCCCAAAAAATGCATTTATCACCACTAGGATGTTTTTAAACATGTGTAGTCAGATTTTGGTTACTTTAGTTGCGTCAAACTCACCCCATTTAGTGATGCCCCTGCAGTAGTCCCTTGCATCATAGGCCCACCAGAAGTTTCTTGAAGGCAAGTTCAGCCCCTCTTCTTTTCAAACCTCCAATACTGCCAACCAAACCAGACAGCGAATGTAGCAATCATCAGGGGAATTGTGGTCGCGGGTAGAATCCACCACTTACGAGACACGCTAAGACCATCAGGTCCGTAATCGAAGAACGTTGTGCTCAGTATAGCAGAAATAAAAGTTCCAGGGAGGAAAAACATTGTGACAGCGGCGATAGTGATCATAGACGAAGAATCTCGCTGGGTTTGCTCAGCTACTTTGGCAGTAGATGCAGCGATTTGCAAGCTCGTCCGGGACTCTTGTTGGTTGGCGAGGTGGAAAAGCTAGACAAAGTTAATTCTTATATTTCTATAATCTCAAAACGTTCAAAGGCAGAATAAGGGTCTGCAATATCTGGTTTTGCACATACGAGGTTAATGCGAATATTGGTCCGGTCTCGATAAACTGATGTCCACCGAGCAAAGGTTTCGCATTGAGACTTCAGCACCTCAAAAGACTCTCCCGTGTTGGTGAATCTTTCTACAGCCCAGTCATTCCGTCCATCAAGAAGGTGTTTCAAGTATTTTTTGAGCGAATCATGAAGAAACTCGAGACGCGAGTGAAAATCCAGGCAATCCTGTGATAGAGTGTGCCAATCCCGAGACAAATAGTGTAGAGCTATAGTCGCTTTGTTGTAATTGTCATACTCTTTGTTCGTGCGTTCCTGTCATTAGGTTTCGTCAGTACTTAGGCTTTTCCATCCGAAGTTGAACGGGAACATCCGAGACATACGTGCTTTCGCAGTTCAGATCTGCGGTCAGCTATATCCTGCTGAAAACCCTTCAGGCATTCATCAGCGGACAAGGAGTCCAGAAAAAATGGTCGAAAAGCAAGGGACGGTTCCTGTTTCAAATAGGCGGTAAGGCGTTGGATTGCAGCATCTGGATAATTGATGCAGAAGTATCTGTGTCGATGGCGGGTTCGGATAAATTGGGTGTAGGACATTCCATGATTGTACGCAAATTGATATCGGTAGGATAACTCTATGTGTTGAAGTGTCAGCGGAATCTGCGGTACCCAGAGCTTCGTAGTTATATTATACGCACCGAACGAGGCCAAATTTCCGTCATGGTCATGTTGTAGAAAGCATTGATTTCCCATCTTGGCCCAGAGGCCTTCGGCGGAATATATGGAACATAGAATGACTCCTGAAAACCCGCCATTACGAAGACAGCTTACAGTGCTGGGTCTGATTGTGAAATTTCCTGGAAGCCAGCCCGAATCCCCCTGGAAGGTATTGATGAAGCTATACCCATCGGTCATTTGCATAGAATCGAAACCTAATGGTCGAAAGTGCTAAAGTGCAGAATGTTGCAGGAATGAGAACCTAGAAGAGGAGGGGCTACTTACAAGATTTGAAGTGACTCCGAGGGTGATTTATGATAGTTAAAGTCATCTTGCTGCAGTTCGTAAGTCGTTAAGTATGTAAGAGTGTAAGGAAAGTGTGTTTAATTGCGCTACTGACCGAGATAATAGCGCGCAGCTCATTGTCATCAACATTTTCATGCCACTCTGGATACAGCTCAACAACGCTTCTTCAGGCGAAAGTGGAAATCTTACTTATGTCCAGTCCACAAACCTGAAGCACGGTAATCGTAGCTCTACTATTTGGGTCTACCAACCGACTTTCTTCGAGGCCCCATGCAATTAGGGACCCATCCTCTAATTCCGGATGTTGAGAGGCCTCGAAATCCTTAGGTAATTGAGATTTGTCTGCAGGTAGCGGAGTGGACGGCCAATGACTCCAGGTAGGGTTGCGGAGAGGGTGTTTAAAAGGTTGCAAGTTTGGACCTGACTGCATCTTTGCTGAAAGTGAACGACAAAAATCAAATATACTACTAGATGGTTCCGTCAGGTCCGAAGAGGGTCAAAGTGGGCACGGAGTGAGAAGCGTCAAGTGGGTCGTGGACATCGCCACATTTCGTTCACGTTTTTGCGGTCTAAGAGGCGTCTTCAAAGGCACTAGGCGTAGTGAGTGTATCCCCAGAACAGGATGACCGAGGTGAAAAGGAAAAGCTGAGTGCAGAAAAATACGAGCCAGGCTAAGCCAAATACATCAACGTCTCGGTTCAAACCAGCCAATCATGTTATAGTATATCTACCCACAACTACCAACTCAACAAAGCGGGAGGGACGTTGTTTGCAATAGCGGAGCTTTCCTAGCTCCACCAGCTTCTCGTATTCAGGAGCCACCACTGCATGCTATAGCCATGCGCTGCCTACCCTAGCACCATGCTGCCTAGCTCACTCCTTTGCATATATGGACCCTTGGGTACACTTCTGTTGGCAATCGATCCTGTTCCCCATTTCTGCGCCTACCAAAAGCTTCACCAACAGCTTCACATCTGTGATTTTTCTCGACTATTAAAAAAATTTCCAACGACTTTCTATAATCCCGTGGATATCGTGGATTTTTCAACAAAGGCGTCGCCAGTCCGTGCATCGAGACATTTCTTGTTCTATATTCCTGTCAACGCCAGTTTACTAACTCAATCGCACAATCACAATTGTCGTGTGCGAAATTCTCTGGATTCTTGGCAATGCTAAGTAACAACTTTCCCTTTTACAAATCTTATAGAAATGCTAGTCACTGTGCATATTGCTTTATATAATTAACTACAACACTTTCTACTATAGGTAAAGCTTTTTACATGTATAGATAGGGCCTATCCTACTAATTTAATAAAGTTTTAGATTATAGATCTAGCTATAGGTCTCTTACAGCCCCCTAGAGGACGCGTTTTATAAAAGCACACATTTTTAATCTAAAAGCTTACTACTAGCTTCCTCCTACTTAAAGCATAGCTAAAAGACTGTTTACAGTTGTTCTATTATGTATTATTTTCTATGCTCAGCTTCTTTATCTTAGAGGTTATTACTCGCGCGCTAGCTATAGTACTATCTATGCATGTAAAAACAGGGTATACACTTCGAAATCAAGAGGTGTGTTAACCAACAAGGGCGTGACTGTAACATAGGAGTACGATTAGTACCCGCCCAATTTCTAAGGCGATCCTCTGCTATCTAAAGGGGGTTTCTACAACTGGCTATATACTTCTTTAGAGAGCCAGGCACAGCAGCGCTGGTAGCGACAAATCTAGTATGCCGTAGGTCCAGTTTAAAGTATTACCTTTCTAGGATGCCCGGCTTTTAGGCGAGGTAGGCGTTGTCTGGAAAGTGCGGGGTTGACGGCACGGGTCGGGAGTCGTCCGGGACTGCCTAGTGCGGTCTAGGCCAGGCTATGTCGGCCTAGGACATACCTGGATAGCCGGTCGTTACAATGCAATCTATTAGAACTTTATAAAGTATAGTACTATTGCAGCCCTACAGGTGTACCAGTTAAGGCGTCTGTAACAGCGCAGGCAAGACAACAGGTCCAAATGCGGTGTGAATCCACTCAGAGGCATATATGAGTGCGTAGGGACTTAGAAACCTAGGAATTCTATTAACACCTATAGGCCTTGTACAAGAGGATATTAGAAACTACTAAGCTAGCTACAGGAGAGGTGCGACTAAATACTTAAGGGAATAGGAGTACAGCAGGGGCCAGGGCAGGGTCAGGGCTGATACAAGGAATCTTCGGATATAGGTTCCAGGCAACCCGAGATAGAACAATTCATGCGAATTGTTACAACTATAAAGCTTAAAATATGTTTTTCTTATAAATATAACTATAAAAAAACTAATATAAAAGTTTTATAGATATATAAAAGTAGTTTACACTTAACGTACTTTACAAGCGAGTTGCTTACACACCTAAGTTGCTTACTTTTGCTAAGACCCTACTAAACTACTCTTTCTACACTAATGTATTTCTAATAACACTACTTAAACATGCTAAAAAAACATGTTAGATATAGCTTATACTCTAAGCTTTTAAATAAAATATAAAACTTTTAAAGAAACATGCTGTAGCTATGTACAAAGTTTTTTAAAAAAAATAATAAAAAACTACAGCACTAGATAACTTTTATAAGCTAATTTTATAGCTAACTTATAAAAGCTAGGTAATAATAAAAAAAAATTATTATTAAAACTATACTTAAGCTATATATGTAAGAATTTTTCTTTTAAATAGCATTTATAGCTAATATAGCTAATTCTTTACACACTAAGTATAATCTAGGCTATATTAGCATAAACTAGCCTAGTATATTTATAAAGTGTTATTTAAAGCTTAAAGTAAAGATTTAAGTGTAAGTATAGTTAATAAATATTTAGCTTATAATAACACTTATTTTACTAAAGTTATACATGTTATTATTTTAGATGCTATACTTAGCTTTAATATTCTTTATAAGGCTAAACTTGCTTTAAATTACTTTAAGACTTTTATAAAAGCTTTTTTATAGTTATACTATGCTTAAATGTTACTTTAAGCTCTAAATAACACTTTCTAAATATACTAAGCTAGTTTATGCTAATATAGCCTAAATTATACTTAGCGCGTAAAAAATTAGCTATATTAGCTATAAATGCTATTTAAAGGGAAAATTCTTATGTATATAGCTTAAGTATAGTCTTAATAATTACTTTTTTCTTATTATTACTTAGGCTTTATAAGTTAGCTATAAAATTAGCTTATAAAAGTTGTCTAGTGCTATAGTTATTTATTATCTTTTAAAAGACTTTATATATAGCTATAGCATGTTTTTTTAAGAGTTTTATGTCTTATTTAAAAGCTTAGAGTGTAAGCTATATTTAATGTTCTTTTAGCACGTCTAAGTAGTGTTGTTAGGAATGCATTAGTGTAGGAAAAGTAGTTTAGTAGAGTTTTAGCAAAAGTAAGTAACTTAGGCGTGTAAGCAACTCGCCTGTAAAGTACGTTATACATAACACTATTACTAACTATAAAATCTATAAAAATAATATTTATAAAGTTAATAAAATAAAGTTTTAAATAAGTGTTATATTTACTTATAAAGTTATTATATAATTTAAAAGGTGTTGTAGACTAAAATTTAGCCTTACTAAGAAATTATAAGTAGGTTATAGTTATAAAATGTATTTAATAGATTTTTTTATAACAGTAAGCTATAATACTTTGAAAAGTAAATAGAGCTAACGTACACTATAGGCAAGTTGCTTACACACCTAAGTTACTTACTTTTACTAAGACTCTACTAAACTACTATTCTTACACTAACGCATTTCTAACAACCTTACTTAGATATGCTAAAAGAATATTAAATATTACTTACACTTTAGGCTTTTAAATAAAATAAAACACTTTTAAAGTAATATACTATAGCTATATAACGTACGTTACAGGCAAGTTGTTTACACACCTAAGTTACTTACTTTAACTAAGACTCTACTAAACTACTTTTTCTATACTTGTAAAGATAGGATGGTAGGTAGCACGGATAGCACTGAGAGCAAGCTTTTGGAGAAAGATAGGAGTGTATTGTAAGAGAGACAAATCGCTGCCAAGCCTCGCTTGTTAGGATTCATGCTTATATACGAAGCACAGGTTATATGACCTCCAAACAGGTCAGGTGAGGCCATACTAGCCCGTTCTGGGACATCCGGCCTTACAATACTAATGCATTTCTAACAACACTACTTAAATATACTAAAAGAATATTAGATATAGCTTACACTTTAAGCTTTTAAATAAAATATAAGACTTTTAAAATAATATACTATAGCTATGTATAAGGTTTTTTAAAAGATAATAAATAACTTATATACTAAATAACTTTTATAAGCTAATTCTATAGCTAACTTATAACAGCTAGGTAATAATAAAAAGTAGGTAATTATTAAGCCTATGCTTAAGCTATATACGTAAAAATTTTCTTTTAGCTAGTAGCTATAGCTAATATAGCTACTTCTTTATACACTAAGCATAATCTAGGCTATATTAGCATAAACTAGCTTAGTATATTTATAAAGTGTTATTTAAAGCTTAAAGTAAAGTTTTAAGTATAAGTATAGTTAGTAAATCTTTAGCTTATTATAAAGTTTATTTTATTAAAGTTATATATGTTATTATTTTAAATAGTATACTTAACTTTAAAGAACTTTAAAAAATGTATAAAAAACTTTTTTATAGTTATAGTTCTACTTAAACTTTACTTTAAGCTTTAAATAATACTTTATAAATATACTAAGCTAGTTTATACTAATATAGCCTAAATTATACTTAGCATGTAAATAATTAGCTATATTAGCTATAGTTACTAGCTAAAAACAAAATTCTTTATATATATAGCTTAAGTATATACTTAATAATTACTTACTTCTTATTATTATTTAGCTTTTATAAGTTAGCTATAAAATTAGCTTATAAAAGTTATGTAGTAACGTACTTCATAGGCGAGTTGCTTACACACCTGAGTTACTCACTTTTGCTAAGACCCTACCCTAACAAACTCTATTATAGCCTATAACAACCCGCTCTAGCACTATATAGTACAGTACAGCCTAGAATTTTATTTAAATACTACTTCTGCTTCTTGCTTATATGTTTGCGTGTTATGCCTAGTCTAATTACACTATCTGTAGCGCCTTTAGAATAGCTTACCTACTTTAGCTTACACCTACTTTTTTGCCTTTTTCCTATTACTACACGCTTTAAACTTTTTTAAAGCTATTAAGCGTAGGCTTTTCTAAATTATTAAAGTTTTTTTTACTTTAATTTACTTTTTTTTATGTAATTTATATTACATAGCAGCCTTATTAGCTGCTTAAAGCTTAGTAATTTTTTATTACACTAACACTAGCTTATATATAATTATTACTGCCTTTTTTAAAACTTTTTTAAACACCTTAACTATAAAAGTTAGTAAACTATTTATTGTAACAGCGCAGGCAAGACAATGGGTCTGAATGCGGTGGGAATCCACTCAGAGGCATATGGGAGTGCGTGGGGACTCTGAACCTGGGAATGCCATTAACACCTATAGGCCTTGTACAAAAGGATATCAGAAAACTACTGAGCTAGCTACAGGGGCGAGGTGCGACTAAATACATGAGGGAAT